AAAAAATAAAATAATTTAATTAATTCAATATATAAAATAAAAAAATTATTTAGTTTCGATTCTTATTCGGTTCTTCGGTTCTTGGTCTAGACCCGAGACCCGACCCAAACCCATCGGTTCTCGATTCGGGTACCCGTTCGGGTATTTAATTTACGAAGAGCCGCTGGTTCGATTCGGTTCGGGTTCGGTTCGGTCCGCTTAGGTTCGAGACTTTTGGACACCCCTATTAACAAGTTAGGCTAGATCTGTTTTTATATTGGATGAAGATGAACCATATTGATTATTTGTTTTAATTCAAAACTAGTATTTTAGTTTATTTATTGTGTTTTTTGATTAATTTTGTATACCATTGCATTATTTAATTGATTGGTCACCAATTAGATAATTAGTTGCTTACTATAGTGTTGGAAGACTTACAATAAATTTAGAATGTGGCAAAATTAATACATGTGTAATAGATGTTAGGAATGCAATTATATAGATAATTTAAATTTTAATGCATTTTACTCATTCAAATTCGAGTTAGGAATAGATTTGAGTTATGCTTAAGATAGATTTAATTTGTTTTGGAAAAGAAAATTATATATTATAGATTTATCGATTGTCAAGAACTCATGAACGAAATTAGATTACAAATCAAGAATTGAAATAGATAGCAATAGCCGAATTTAAGATTCAATACAATCATTTATAAATTGATAAAAATCACATTTTTACAGCTTTCTTAGATTAATTTAATATACAACAAAATTCAACTCTCATTTATTTACATAATTCGAATTCCATAAAAAAGCTAGTAGATTTAAATTGAATTTATTCATTGTAGGACTATAACTCTTAACTCATCAATTCTATTACTTGTCAACTATCTCGTACGCTTGCGGGATTTGAACAAACAATAACTTTGCACATAGATCAATAAATTTCTCTAATGGTCCGTTTGATTGTAAGGGCGGAAAATAGGTGGAAAGAAAATGTTTTACAGGGTATTGATTTTCTTAGAAAATGTTTTATTGGGAATTGTAATTAATTGTGTTTGATTGATATAATTTTTCATGAAAAATATTGAAAGTTTTGTGTTCATTTGACTTCGTTTTTTATGAAATTTGTCCATTAAAGTGATAATTTTTTCTACCATTGGGTCTAAAATTTGTTCCAATTGTAAAAAAAAATTTGAAAAAAAAAAATTTACCATACCGAATATCATTCGTTTGACTTTGTTTTGCATGAAAGTTGTTAATAAAAGTCAAATTTTTTTTACCATTATATCTAGAATTTGTTCACATTGCAACAAAAAAAAAAAAAAAGGGTGGAAAATGTTTTCCCACCAAATAGGTGAGAAAACAAAATCAAGTTTTTGTGCATCAAATGATTGTACCTAGAAAAAGGTGGAAAACNTATGCTATCAGATACCCTTAACTGGCTAAAGTTAGAAAATATTTTCCTTTTCCACCTATTTTCCAGGTTATTAAACGAACCCTAATATATATCGATCTTCGGCTATGAAACTAACCCAGACCCGAAGGTTGCTGTAAGTTGATAGCTAAAATGGATCTTTTTACGATAATACGAGAGCACACATTTTCTTGGAGATGCCCTTTTGCTTAACTGAAAGGTTATTGAAAAATAGGGCATTTTTATTTTTATTTTTTATTTTGTAGTTTCTGTAAATAGAAGACTACACATCGCATGAAAAAGAGAAGAAGGAACATACAAATCATTTTAGTATATATATAAATGAAACACTTAATTTTTCGCAAGTTTGTTCATGTTTTTTGGACATTGTAATCTGCACATTTGGATTGAAACTTTGAACTACTTATTCTTCAAATATTTCTTTTGGAGAGTAGAAGATAATAATGTCAGATTCCTCAGGCAACGTGAATCTCACCCTCTTCTTCTCCAAATTCCCGTTTTGACTTATCATAGACAAATCTGCATCTTCTTCTGATTCATCAATCTTATCCAGTTTCCCAGTAGAGAAACTGACTCTTGGTGTAAAATATCCAGTATGGGCAGGATCAGGAGAAGACAGATACACCTTCTTGTTCGATTGCGTCAAAACTTGAATTTCACCTCCCATAATACACTCAGGATTATTTGAGCCTGAAGGAGAATCCACAAGCCAATCCCTCAAACTCGTCAATTTTTTAGGGGAATTTCCATTAATTTTGTTGCAAGTCCCTATTTCTTCTGAAGTTGATGGCCTCAAACAGCAAAGCTTTTGCCCCATGAAGTAGCAGAAATAAGGAAAAAGTAATTGTAGTATGATACTAAGAAAACATAGGTGAATATTCAAGGTGGGAAATGTTTTAGATAGATATTTTAGAGGGGATTATAAAGTAAAAAGCGACGAACAAAACAATATGAGAGTAGTTAATTATCATTATTCTTAGTTGTATATTCTTGGACTACATTCATAGTATTGGAACAAATTAAATTTAGGTTTAACTGTCTGAATCTTGTCTTATAACAAGGTACCATCTTTTGTCTATATGGAAATTAGAATTTGAGGGGTAGAAGACAATATTTCTTGTCTTTTATTGTTAACAGTCACTGGAAACAAGATTTTTTTCGCATTAATATTGACAAAGCTGGCGATATAACCAAAGCAGGCTTGTTAAAGCTTGCTGTATTGAACAAAATATCATCAGATGGTAAGAGGAATATGCATGTAGAACAGGAAACAGCATCAATGATCAACAGTGAACTCAAGTTTCTTCGCAGGTGACTAGTTTCTAAGGAAATTCGTGTTCTGTATATGCTTTTTTTTTTTTTTTTAAATTTCTTTCTTTGATTCACAGTAAATTTCTCCCTTCTCTCACCGTGATTGTAAGTTTATAGCCAAACGACATTATACCGTGGTGTCTCTTTTTAAAAAATTTCTTTACCCTTTTTTTTTAAAAACACTTACATGCATGTGAATTTGAGAAAAGTGTTAACCTTTTCCACCTTTTTGTTAGAAAAATTAGGTGCACGTTATATTCTTTAAAAGATTTTACGTACAAATATATGGACTGAATAGCCACTCACCGATCTACACTAATGAAATAAAATTAAACAAAATGGTAAAAGGAAGAAATGACAGACTCATTTTTCTTAAGACAATAATGTCTGATGCTAACCGGCATTGTTATTGTAGGACTCCAAATAACAAGATGCACAAACTTACTTTCATTTTAAACTCTCTGAAATGAAGACGGATAGAAGACATGTTGAACAAAATTTTTGAGACAGTAATGCAGAAAGAATAGTGCAAGGAAAGATATGCTATTATGCCATTGTTTTGTTTGGACTCCATTTTAATAAGTTTTTAATTTTTATGAAAAAAATGTATTTTTGAATAGTGATTTTGTTAAGAACGTATGATTAAAAAAATGAAAAAGTTTTAGATTTACGTGTAATATTATTTTATTGAAGAACGTGTAATTGAAAAGAAGCAAGAAAAAAATATATTAAGCGTCTGTTATGGATAAAAATATATTTTAGAATAGTAGATTATTGGAGAAACGTAAATTTTCATGTGTGTTTGTGCTACACTATTTTGGAAAAATGTATTGATGAAGAATGTGTGGTTGAAAAAAAAAAGAAAAAATTATTGATATGATGAAAAATATTATTTTATTAAAGAACGTGTAGTTGAAAAGAAGCAAGAAAAAAATATATTAAGCGTCTGTTATGGATAAAAATGTATTTTATAATAGTAGATTAATGAAAAATGTGTAATTAAAAAAATAAAAAGTTTTAAGCTTGCATGTAATATTATTTTATTGAATAATATGTGATTGAAAAGAAAAGACAAAAATGTATTTTGAAAATAATGAGATCAAACAAAGGGTAAAATTAAAATAGAGTCCAAACAAACAAAATCTGGAAATGAAGGCCTTTACATTGAAGTTGGAAAGTTTTATGTATCAAAAGATGTGACTTTTTGAAATAGCATGTGTGATCAGACATGTTTGTTATTGACACCTTTTGTTTGTCTATGAAAGGGGCATACATAGTTTAGAAAATATCGATGGGGCGAGCATTGCACCACGTCACTTATCAAAACTCAGAAGGTAAGAAAGAAAGAAAGAAATTTTTATATATTTATTTTGTCCAAAAATAATACATCAACTTGGTCCTTGAGAACAAATGCCAAACGTGAACTATTTAAAAGTGATTAAATTCTTTTCATCTTCTAATTTCCCATTTATATAATTCCAATTTTCAAGTTCCAATAAATTTTTTTTTTTTTTACCTTAATTTCTCATCCATTAAAAATAGATTTCGAGCAAATAAATATATTATTAAGATCTACTCACGGAATATAACACATTTGGTCAAAGAATTCACATATTTGATAAACGGATCCTACTTAAATAATTGGTCAAAATCAATTATTAAATAACATTTTCCAACACTTCAACTACACATTCTCTAAAATTATAAATTTTTCAAAAATTAATTTTCAAATAATTACTTCCACACAACTTCTAAAATATATACAAATTATAAAAAGAGTAATGCTATTCGTAGTGAAAACTAACGCCATTCGTCCTATGTAGCATACACATGCCAGTTGTTTGTTTGTGACGTAGGATGAATACCGATAGTTTTCACTACGGATAACATTACTCTTATAAAAACTTACAAGTTAACACGTGACATAAACATGAGACACATCATTAAGGTGACGTGAATAATTAATTAGAAGAAGTTCCTATGTATTAACATGTGAATATTTTTTCCATTTTAAACCTCCATGAATAAATAATCTCGATTCTCAACTCGTACAAGATCCACTTAAACAGAGCCTCATGATAAGGATTTTTTTGTCACTTGCGAGCTCATAAAAAACACATCACAATGTCTGTCGATGATGATGGCCAACGAAGTTCTTCAACATCAGCCGAAGCTTATCTATTGCGGGTGAAGTGAGTACACCTCAACATATTGAAAAATTTCAATGCAAAGGCTGACCATCACTAAGTCCTACGCCTAATTAGACTCGAACTTGGGAACTACCATTACATCCAAAAAATCTGCGAGGCCATGTAAGCCCAACCTTGGAAGAAAAGGCCACATTGGCCTTCACCGGTACATCATATGGCAATCCCATATGTTCTTTGTGTAAGGATTTCTAATTGATCATGTAGGTTTATATGTGAAATATTGTGTATTAAATTAAGGGAACAATATATAAACCGAGTTTTTAAGTATCACAATTTCAAAAATAAGGATAGAAGTTTTAAATTTCAAAAATCAAGATTTCATTAAAATTTATTTATAATTTAATTAATAAATATATAAATGTCACAGATCTATGCGATTTGGTCACAATTCAAAAATTTTAAGGTCATAATTCAAAAAACTTATGTCATAGTTCAAAAAATTTTAAGGTCATAATAAAAAATTTAAAAGTCACAATTTGTTTATCGGTCACAAATCACAAAATTCATAAGTCGCAACTTATTTTATGGTCACAAAATATCAAACTATAGGTCACAGATTATTTTTATTGGTCACAACTCGATTATAATTTAATAAATTGTGAGTTAGTCACAATTTTTAGGTCACACATTATTAATTTGTCAAAAATTAACCAATTATTGGTCACAATCAACCAAATAATTGGTCACAGGCACCCACGTCCATCCCACCACGACCATCGTCACGACGCTGCACATAGCATCGCACAACCCAATCGTAACCACCGCACACATGCACGCAACCCCAACTGCCACCTCACGCATGCGTACACACCCGTTAGCAGTTCATTCACCCACAGCATCGCGATCGCATCCCACAGCACCACGCGCACCCCACAACCGTTCACACAGCACCGCGAGACACAAACCCACAGCCCCCACCCTATCGCACTGCAACCCTATCTACACCATTCAAACCCTAAAATCATTTTCTCTCTCATCTCATCTCCATTATCTCTTCACATAGAACCATCGTCGCTTAAAGAATGGTGGAGCAGTGGTGGGCATTGACATTAAGAATATAAGAGAAGGCGCTGCTGTCTCTTTCTATCTCACATAGAACTACCGTCGCTTCTTCTATTCGAGATGATGCACTTTTAGATTTGTGTGTTGAGGTGCGACTACGCGGCGGGTGTTCTATCTCACCTATCTTCTTGTGTTGATTGTTGTTGGTGGTGGTGATTGTTGATAGTGTGGCGACGAATTTGGGATTTTTTGGTGGGGGTTGTGTTTGTGGTGTGATAGAGATGGGGGCTATCTCGTACGGTGCCACAACTGTCGATCGTAGGCTTAGGTGCCGGCGAGGTGGTGCTAGTGGCAGTGGTAGCGGCGGGGTGGTGCAGTGACGAGGATAGAAAGAGAGAGGGGAGAGAAAATGAAAAAATTAGGGTTTGAAATTGTGTAGGATTGATTTAAATTAATTTTTATTTAAATCAATCCTACACAATTTCAAACCCTAATTTTTTCATTTTCTCTCCCCTCTCTCTTTCTATCCTCGTCACTGCAAAATTAAAGACTATCAATTTTGGTTAAACCTGTTTAAAGTGATCTAATAAGGTTTTGGTATTTTGGATTTTGAAGTATCTGATTAAAGTATGTGGCTTTATGTGTAAAGATCAGACATGTTCCTAATTTCATGATGGGTCAAATTAGGTTAATGGGCCGTTAATGTGTGTGTGTGTGTGTGTGTGTGTGTGTGTATATATATACAGTTATGGTCCCCAGATCATACATTTTGTTCTGACTCTCATATTTAGAAAAAAACAAAGGAACAACGTGTTGAGCTGGAAGATTAAAATCCCAGGATTCATTCATTACGATAATCATATCTGATTCAAGTACACTTATGCTTTGGTTCATAAATTGTTGATGGTCTAACATGAAAGATCATTGAGACTGTAACAGTTTTCCCAACAAGTGGTATCAGAGCCTATTCATGTTGAATCATTAATAATCAAAATTTTAATTTGATTCTTGATAATTTTATTGTTTTCAAATTTAACGATTTCGATATTAATTTTGTTAACGATTTCGATATTAATTTTGTTAACGATTTCATTGCAGCGGGTCGTCTGCCGCAGCCAAGCGCGCAGTGCTCACCACTGCCGGGCGAGCTCTACTTCAGGTTAGCGTCGCCCCCACGGTTCCTCCCTCCCTAATATTTTTTTTTAGAATTTACAGGTTGTTGGATTTTGGGGCGAGGGCTTGTGGTGTAAATTGGATGATTTCAGACCTTTGTTTGCAATTTTCAAATTAGGGT